AGCTCAACTAAACTTAGTAGGTCTAAGGAAAGTCTGAAATGCTCAAACTGTAAGGAGAATGGTCATAATTCAAGAACTTGTATGTTACCTAAAGCATTGGTCATTGAAAAACCTCCACCAAGAAGGGGAGGTAGACCATCAATTCTTGGCAGAGGAAGAGGAAGAACAAGGGGAGAAGTGGCTGGTATTGGTGATGGTGAAGTGACAGTAAGGGGAAGAGGTAGAGGAAGACCAAGAAAGGGTAGATGAAGTGAAGTTCCAAGTATGGTACCTTCAAATCAAGAGGTAAAGCTACTTAATAATCATAAAACATATCTTAATGTCAATTTTTTTTTTCTTTTTTCTTGGGATTGCATTTACTTCACTATTACTATTGACTTTCAAGTTTTAGGTTCAAAATATAAGAATGTCCCGGCTAGAATCAACTCAAGCATCATCTTCTAGGTATTACAATTTTTGTTGTGTTGAAGTGGATAATGATTTTTTTAGAAATTACAACAAATTCCCATGTATTGACAGGTTAATGATGGATGGGATTGTGTATGCATGTTGGTAATTCTGATGGTTACAGCTTTTGGTGCTATTTTATTTATTTATTTATTTAATTTATTTATTTATTTATTTTTTTTCCTGATGTTGATGGTTCCCTTGCTGTTGGAGGTGGTTTTTTGGCTGATATTGATGGTTCCCAGTTGCTGTTGGAGGTTGTTTTTTTTGCTGATATTGATGGTTCCCAGTTGCTGTTGGAGGTTGTTTTTTTGCTGATGTTGATGGTTCCCCGTTGCTGTGGGAGGTTCCTTTTTTTGCTGGTGTTGATGGTTCCTAGTTACTGTTGGAGGTTGTTTTTTTTGCTGGTGTTGATGTTTCTAAGTTGCTATTGAAGCTTACTTTTTTGGCTTTTGTTGATGCTTTCCTGTTACTGAAAATCTTAACAATTTAGAGATGGGATTAGATCAGTATCTATGAAATTAACTTAGTAATGTTATCAAGTTTCTCTTGTTGCTACTGCTACTATGACTGAAGAACTTATTTGTTATTTTGTTCACTGCAACATTATGGTTGTTAAGTGCTGTGTTATGTGATCTTAAGAATTTTATTTAACTCAAGTGGTGCAGGCTATTGTTTGGGATGTAATTACATATCTGAATATTACTCTTGTTGATTTTTTGATAATTTTTGGAGGTTAAAATATTTCTTCTGAAGTGGAAGTTACATTTGTTTGGATTGATTTTTGTAGTGTCCCTTGAGGGAAAAGACAGTAATTTCCAGGTTCAGGTTTTGAAGTTCACGATTTTGTTCCATTTTGGGAAAGTAATTTGAGAGTTTTAAGACAGGTGCAGTCTTGTAAGCAGATTTGTTTGCTGTCAAAATTGTTCTTTCTCTCAAGTTTTTTTTTCTGGTTCTTTGCAGTTTGACAGCAGACTTGTTGTTGAGGATTGTTTGTGTTGTGTTGACAGTTTTGTTTGTCTTGAAATTCAAGTCTCATTTTTCTGTTTGGTTTGTAGCATTTCAGAGTAAGTGTTGACAGCATTTGTCGAGAGGGCTGTGGGTTGACAGAATGGTTGAGGTTTGGAGAAGCTGAAGTTTTGGTTTTTTCCTTGGGGTTCTTAGCTAGATCAAGTAGAGCAGGGCAGATTGGATTGTTTCTTTTGTTGCTCTTGTATTGTTTGTTATGCTTTGTTTCTCTAAGGTTATGTCATTTTTTTGGTGGTATTTGGATTTAGTTCAATTGCCGCATTTATATTGGAGTTTATTCTCCTATAGTAATTGTACTCTTTGAAAAATTTTATAAAAAAATCCCATTCAGGAAAAAAAAAATGTTGTGGTTAATTATTATGTTAAATATTCTCTTATTTAAGTATGTTTAGTGGAAGTGATCTGTGCACTGCAATGCATTCATTCAACAACCAACTTTGGGAAGCAATTTGTCCATTCATTCTCTTATTTAATTATTTTGTCCATTCCATAAACAGAACAAAAAGGAAGCAATTTGTAGCCATATACATCAAAGGAAATTAATAACATAACAACCAATTAAGAACAAAAGGAAAATAATTTTCATTATGCATCAAAATATTACAAGAACTTGAAGACCCTGAACAAAAGTTACAACACAACCCAGCTCCTAAAATAGACCCTTCAATACACAACCTTAACTTCCACAACACCACCTTCAACACACAAGCTAAACTCCCCAAACAGAAAATTCACTTTAACAAAATGGAAACAATTAGAATTACAACTAATAACCCAAACAAATACAAGCTTGCAACAAACATTAACTTGGCAAATGAATTGATGTCAGTCTTAGGTGCTAGACGAGGAATTAGATGTGCTTCATCTTCATTTGCTGTAGTAGTTATTGGATTATTCCACCATACAAAAAAATTACAGACTTCATCCTTGCACTTGAAATAAAGCTTTCCAGGATTGTCTCTTGACTCGGAAATGAATACGCCTGCCCTTTCGTCACAAAAACATTTTTTGTTTCGAAAGGGACCCCTTCGATGGGAAGTACGAGTCGATGATACAAAACTCATTCTCTGCAAATAATATCACATAAATATAAAATTTATGCCTCAATACATACATACATATATATATATAGACAATCATAAACACACACAGACACACACAGACACACACACACGCGCACACACACACACATATATATACTGAACATTCATAGCCCAAGCAATTTCTGGATTTTTCCGAAAACGAAGGCCACACATGAACATTCACAGAAATAAAAAGATGAATACAAACTCTTACTAAGAACTTAATCGATGTTTCCAAAGATGAGGCGAGAGATAAAGCTTGATTGGTTTTGAGAACACAGGTTTAGTCAATCTAGGGCGAGCAAATTTCTTGATTTCGAAGACGAAGGGCACCGCCACAGATGAACATTTACAGAAATAAAGAGATGAATACAAACCCTTACCAAGAACTTGATCGATGTTTCCGAAGACGAAGGCCACAGATGAAGCTTGATTGATTTTGGGAAGAAAGGTTCGATTAATCTAGGGCAAACAAATTTCTCGATTTTTATCAGAAGGCTGTGTTCGGTTATAACGGTATACGCTGATATAGGCTGATATATGACCGTTTGGTTATAACAGTAACAAGTAAGGGTATTTTTGTCCTTTTATGTGAATAAGGGTATTCTGGTCTTTTATTTTACAAATTTGCATCACGTGATGGCACATGCCATTTTTAACGCTCAAAGCTGCCGGATTCCTGCCGGATGGAGTCATTTGCAACAAAATTGAATACTTCAGGGGGTTAGTTGCAACTTTTGTAATTCAGGGGGGTTAGTTGCAGATATGGCAATAGTTCAGGGGTTTTTTTTTGCATTTAACCCTAAAATAAATTGCAATAGGAGCAACTTGTGGTGCAGATGAGTCCATGCTTTGGGATGTGATTATTTACCATAAAAGATGATCCCAACTAAATAACAAAGAGGGAGATTAAAATACTTCATAGTGTGACATAATGAGAACCCTTTTAAGGCACAGTAACCATTCAATCAAATCAGACACAATTGATGGAGGTGAAAGGGAATTTAATTGTGAAATGAATGACTGAAAATAAAAGAAATAGACCCTGTTGAAAAGGGTATTTTTTCGAGCAAAATTTTTTATTAATTAGACTTGCACCTATAATCATGTATATCTAATTGCTAGTACTAAACATTAGAAGATAAATAATATAGTGTTCATTGTTTCATATTTGAACTTAAAATTTCAATTTTGTTCAAAATTCAAAAGATAGGATAATATCTCAAAAGAGTACAAAGTAACCTTAGAATTAAAAGGGTAGATTTGGTGATTACAATCACTCAGGGCTCGTTTGGCTAATATTTTTACTTCATGTTTTTTGGTTTTGCGATTGTATTATAGCAAAGCAAAACTACGAAACATGTTTGGTAATGTTTGTTGTCATTTGAATAGTACTGAAACGCTTCCAAAATTGAGGACAAAATCGGAAGCATTAAAATGATACTTTTGTTTGCTTACATTTTTAACTAGCCATTCAAAATTTCAAACTTGTAATACTTTTTCCAAAACATACTTTCATACTTTTGCTATGAGATATATATTTTATAATTGGCTAATTTCGTTATCAAAACAAGTCCGATCGAGTTGTAATTTTTCAGTTTAAAATTTCAAGATGAAGATCGGATGTGGATTTGAAGAAGTTCAAGTGTTCATGGTTTACTATACTCCGGGATGAAGAGAACAATGCTTTAGGAAGTTTTGTGAGTTAATGAGAACACTTATGAAGTTTTAGGAAGTTTTTAGGGAGAAAATACTTTTTGCCCAAGTTGAACTGGTTCAACAATTAAGGGAACAAGTCCAAACATATGAGGGAACAAGTTTGAGAATTAAGGGAACAACAGAGCGAGAGAGGAAAGTGTTGTGCGCAAATAGGTTGTTACCACATGGAAGTCGATTTTTGTCGGGTATATATCTGTCGTCATAAAAAGCATTTCCCTTTTTTTACTAGCTCAAGAGGGTTTTTAAAACTTTTGCCAACAAAATAAAATGTATTACCTAAGACATGAAAGCATGATCAAACTTCACTAATTTATAAATCAAATGAGTTAATTGGGTGCTTCTTTTCTAAAAGTACTGATAGTCAGGCCAACTAATTAGGTTTATTTTTTAAAGTGAAACAATTAATACCATTAATAACGTGCAGTGAAGCTTAAAATGAGATTTCACTTCGTCATCAATAACCATATTTATTTCACTTTGACAAATAAATTTAACTAATAAATATGAATATCTATTTGAACAGTTGGTTACCACCTTAGAAATTAAAATGTATTGCTAAGTTTTATACTCTTAATGAATAATTTAAACTAGAAATGCATATATAATTTGAGAAATTATAAAATTTTGGTATCAGAGACTTGAAAAACAAGATTTATTTTATATTAAACCAAATATCCGATCGTTAATTTAATATAACACTTTATTTTGTTGAAGTTTCTTAAATAATAATTTGTAAGAAAAAAAATATATATTAAATGATGCGTGCATGAGAGGTAGATCTACTTAGATCACCGACAAGGGTCCTCATCAAAAATCAAATGAGATCAAAGACAAAGTTCACCAACCTGAAAATAAATAATTAAATAAAACCTAAAGCATAAAAAATAAACCTAAAAAAAACTTTTGTTTCCATGTCATCTAGTGGGACCATGCAATATTGTCGGAGAGTGATATATGAAGAGGCAAAGCTTTTCTACAGCTATGCTTTGAATTACAAGTTTGGATCTGAAGTGAATCACATTGAGAAGATTGAAGGATCCAAAGAAAAAAAAAAGGGAAAGTACATGGATCACCAATCAGCAGCACCACTCCCTCCTCACGTGCTTGTCTTCCCGTTGCCGGCTCAAAGCCACTTGAGCTCCATGCTCAAGCTTTCCGAGCTTCTCTGTATTGGCAACCTCCATGTGACCATGCTCGTCTCTGAGTTTAGCCACAGCCGCCTCCTCCACCATACTGATGTCCATTCCCACTTCACTCGCTATCCCGGATTTTGTTTCAGGACTATTCCGGATGGCCTTCCTGAGGACCATCCGCGTGCCGGTGAAAGAATTATGGAGATGTTTTCGTCTATGAAGTCCGTCACGGCCCTACTATTCAGGGAGATGATGATATCGACTAATTATTTGAGTTCGAAAGCAAGGCGGCCTCTGACATGCATCATAGCAGACGGGGTTCTGAGTTTTGCTGGTGATTTTGCTATTCAGAGCGGAATTTCACTCATTTATTTTCGTACTGCCAGTGCTTGCTCATCTTGGGCTAATTTTTGTATGCCTCAACTCATTGAGGCTGAAGAAATTCCCTTGAAAGGTATGTTAAATTTCTGCCACAATTGTTTGGTCAATGAGGACATGGTTTCAATTTTGTTAAGCAGGGTAGGTCGATTCAGTTGTGTTTTTTTTTTTTTTTTTGAGTTGTCCATGTCTGAAATTTTGGTTCACAGTTACATGAGGCCTGTTTCATGAGTTTAATTAGTTTTTTATAAATAAATAATAATAAAAAAAGACCATCAGTGTGTTTGGTTCAATTATTTATTTATTTATTTAAAAAGTGAGTTCTCACGAACTTAAAAAAATAAATTTGTTTTTAAAAATTATAAAATAATTTATTTTATTTTTTCATTTTTTTAAAAAAGGAACTTAATCAAAGATGACTATTAATATATTTTCAGGAAATGGCATGGACCTAATGGTGAAGAACGTACCGGGCATGGAGGGCCTTCTCCGACGACGTGACCTTCCGGGCTTTTGCCGTGTTGATGAAGTCAATGATCCGCTTTTGCATTTCATCAAAACAGAGACTGGACAAACCCCTCGAGCCCAAGCATTAATAAAGAACACCTTTGATGAGCTAGACGGACCAATACTCTCTCAAATACGTACTCGCTGTCCCAATCTCTTCTCCATCGGACCACTTCACGCACACCTAAAATACAGACTCATAGCAGAGACCAACTGTTCCTCAACCTCTTCAGGTAGTTTCTGGGAGGAAGACCGAAGCTGCGTGACATGGCTCGATTCCCAGCCGTCCAAATCTGTGATCTACGTGAGCTTTGGAAGTATCACTGTTGTGACAAGAGACCAACTCATGGAGTTTTGGTATGGTCTGGTGAATAGTGGGCAACGGTTCTTGTGGGTCATGCGGCCGGACTCTATTGTCGGAAAAGATGGGGAGAGTGAGATTGTGGTAGAGCTTGTGGAGGGCACGAGGGAGAGGGGGTACATGGTGGGATGGGCCGCACAGGAGGAGGTTCTGGCCCACCCTGCTGTTGGTAGGTTTTTAACTCATAGTGGGTGGAACTCTACTCTAGAGAGCATAGTGTCGGGTGTGCCAATGATTTGTTGGCCTAACATTGCTGACCAGATGATTAATAGTAGGTTCGTTGATGAAGTTTGGAAACTTGGTTTGGATATGAAAGATACGTGTGATCGAGTCATAGTTGAGAAGATGGTTAGAGATTTGATGGATGTTAGGAAAGATGAGTTTCAAAAACGAGCGAATCAGATGGCAAAGTTGGCGAAAAGAGCTGTGAGTGAAGGTGGGTCGTCGTACTGTAATTTAGATCGTCTAATAAAGTATATAAAATCAATGGTTGAGTGATCAAGGTGAGTGAAAAAAGACTACGTACAATACTCCTAAGCTACTTACACACGGTACCTCTACCATGGCCATTGTAGACTTTCTCAATGTGAGGGTTGGATATGAAAGAGTGAAGATTGTTGAGTATACTTTTTACATGAAGGGGTATTTGTGATTTTTCTCATGATGTACACATAAGTTTCATACTTATATCCACGGTGTCATACATTGTTAAAGTATTACAAATTCACTAATAAAAAAAAGATAGAAACTAGTCTAGAATGTAGCACCTTTGAGTTAATATGATCCGAGAGTATTTACAAAAGAATAATCCTCTCAAGAGAATCACCTCACATGGTTTGTGAGTTCCCCAAATTAATTACTGGATTGAAATATAATCTCTCTCTCCGGGGAAATATAATCTCTCTCCGGTCGCAGTTTTTCAAATAGAATATTTTTTCTAAGAATAGAAGGAGTATTAAATAATTCATTTAATTTTCTATTAATTTCAAAAAATAGTTTCAATCCACCAATTAACTATAAAGATTAGGTCATAACTCTTGTCATAAAAGAGCTCTCTTAACAACATTACTCTTGAAGTGAAGCTCGGCAGTGATCGAATGATTCCATCTTGGCGATGGACTTCAAGGCTTAGGCTTCTAGCAGTTGTAGTTCTGGTAGTAACGAGCGTTCTCCGACAACGAGAAGAATAGCGAGGCCAAGGGTTCAACAGTGGCAGCTTGAATGAAGGTCATTCACCATGAACACCGGCGAGTTATGAAAAAAGGGAAAAATTCACTGCAAAAATATTAAAGGAGAGAGAAATAAGATTTCAAACTTACTTAAAAAAATATAAAGTAGAAAGTTAGCAGCCAGTAGACTGCTAACGCGTAGCGACTGTGACCTCTTTATTTATATATACGCGTTGTATGTGTGGGAGAGAGAATTGTGTACAAGCTCTTATAAGTAATTTTAGTTTTTACTTATTTTTTATTATTTTTGTAAACAGAATCTTGAGGGGTATTTTTGTGCTTTTGCCTATCCCACCTTATTTACCTAACAATAAATTCTTGTTTGTTCAAAAAAAAAAATTATAGCACTAGGTGTTGTTTGATAGCACTAGGTGTTGTTTGATAAAATTAAAAATTTTAAGGCCTGAATTAAAAATTTTAAGGATTGAATTTTTTTTTTAATTAGTAATTAAAAAATAAATTTGTTTTGATATTTTTTTGAATTTTCAGTTTTCAGCATTCAGTGACAAGTGATGTTCTAATTATTTAAAATTTTATTCTATTTTAAATAATACTTATCATTTTCAGTAGTATTCAAATTTTGCTATCAAATACACTTAATTGAATAAGCGCTTAATTTATTCTTAATCCATTCAAAAGTAAACGTCAAATTAAATAATCAACTAGTTTTCACACTTCACCCAAATGATAGCACCAAGTAAGAGCATCTCCAATGCTCTTTTATTTTGAGCTCTCAAATTTATAATTTGAGAGATGGGTAAAAAAAACTACTCCAATGGCCTTTCATTTGGCCTCTCAAAATTTGAAAATCTCAAAATTTCTCTCAAATGTAAGAACTGCCAAATTTTTTTGGCAGCTCTCTAACACCAACCACACACACACACACACACACACACACATATAATTTCAACCCAAATTCGTATATATATATATTTTAAAAAGATCATAAAAAATTTCACCAAATAGGATTTAGTTTGCAAAACAAGAATTATAGACTTTGATTAGTTGATTTAGAAAAATAATTAAAACAAAACCCATACATACAATTTAGCAGTTGCAGAGAGAGAGAGGCGAAGTTTGAGAGTTGAGAGAGCGGCTGAAGCTTACGAATGGCGTACCCGAACTGGAACAGCAGACGATGTAAACTGAAAGATATGGGTTTTTAAACAATCTGAAATGATATGCCGATATGGGTTTTGATCTTTTGATTCTTGCAGACAAATAGATAAACTGAATTATATGGGTTTCAACTTCTGATTCTTGTAGATTTTCTAGTTTACAGTTGCAGAGAGAGAGATAGAGAGAGGGGGGGAGTTCAGAGTTGAGAATGAGAATAGAGATAGAGGCGATTGGGTAGGCTGAAACGATTTGCCCTAAAAAAAATATATATTTTTAATACTACTATACTCAAATATATATAATATACATATATATATATATAATATATGAATTTTTGAAAAAGAAAAAAAAAAATATATATATATATATATAATATAAATTTACACACACACACACACACATATTGGTCATTTTTTGACAAGATATTTTAGATTTTTGTTTTTTTTTAATTAAGTTTAATTTTAGTTTCCTTCTAATGTCTACAACTTGACTTAGAATGTACCTAATATTAATATTACTGATATAAATATGAATGGTGGAATTGGTAATTGAAAAAGAATAGTAGTTGTGTTAAAAAATAGTATTTTGCATGAAATGCATTATTGGAGCAAAATTACTAAAATATAATATTTTGACACTGTAACACCTGTCAAAATATAAATTTGACAGCTGAAAATAACTTTTAATATTAGAAATGTTCTAACTATCGCTTTTCAACTATTGGATCATTCTTGTTGGAGTTGACGTGACGTCACATGATATAACAACAATTGAGATTGCCGGTAGCACTTTCCAGATGCCTCTTTTTTTTTTTTGTAGTTTTGTTTGTATGATTGCTTCTGCAAAAAAAAAAAAATAAATAAATAAATAATAATAATAATAATAATAATAATGTATTATTCAACCACTCTAATCCCATATTATTTATTTATTTTTAAGTAAGCAATACGATAGGCTTCGATAGCACACAACCAGTGCTGCCCATGTGAGGTTTGAATTGCCCGTCTCCCAATGGCCAAATGGTATCAAGATAATCAGATATCATTTTCTTTTAAGTTTTGAGAGAAAAGAAAAAGGAAGTGATATTTAGATTCCGCTTTTGTTTCTTTGCATTCCACTTATATTTTTAAAAGCAAGCAATACAATAGCACACACCCCATGTTCTTGGAATTTTGCTTGTTAGAGATGAATCACTTACTATGTGAACCCCACGGACATTTGCTGTTTTTTTCATTTTATTTCACATCACTAAGGGGGTCAAATTAATCTTTAGCAATTTATAAAATAGTGAAAGAACCCTCCATTCAACTTCTCTAATAATTTTGACTTTGTCTACTACCAAATTAATGGAGTGTCCAGCTTCACAACAACAGATAAAAATGATTATTTTATATTAAATTATATATTCGATTCTTTCAAGGGTTTCATAATTGGACACACTATTTTATTTTTCCTTAAGGCCAAACTAAACCCGACAAAGTTTACCTAACTAAAAATAAAAAAATGAAACAAAGGGTCGGCAATGCATTTAATACTACAATAATACAATAAAGAGGCAAGTTTGGATCTGAAGTGAAGACATTTGGGGATCAAACAAGTTTTAATGGATCATGATCAATCGGCACCACCACTCCCTCCTCACGTGCTCGTCTTCCCGTTGCCGATTCAAGGCCACGTGAACTCCATGCTCAAGCTAGCTGAGCTTCTCTGCCTCGGCAACCTACATGTGACCATGCTCGTCTCCGAGGATAACCACGCCCGGCCGCCTCCTCACCCACACCCATATCCATTCACACTTCGCTCGGTATCCCGGATTTTGTTTCAGGACTATTCCGGATGGCCTCCCTCAGGACCATCCGCGTGCTGGCAGGCCACTCGGGGAGATGTTTTTCTTCACTAATATCTGTCACCGGGCCATTATTCAGAGAAATGATGATAGACACCGATTGCTTGGCTACCCAAACAAGGCGACCTGTCACATGCATCATAACAGAAGGGGTCCCCAGTTTTGCTGGTTATTTTGCTATCCAGAGGGGAATTCCACTTATTTATTTTCGGCCCGCCAGTGCTTCCTCTTTTTGGGCTTCTTTTTGTATTCCGGAACTCATTGAAGCTGATGAAATTCCCTTGAAAGGTATGTTCTATTTTTGTCATTTTGCTTGGTTAAAGAGGAAATGGTTTTATAAAGTGGTTTATTCAGTTAAATTTTAAAATATTTTATGTGTTTTTTAAGGTTTGGTTGTCCTAAATTATTTAAGAAGAAAAAAAATATATTAAAATCTAAAAAAATAACTTATTTATTAATATTCGATAAACTATTTTACATACCCAACTCGATGGACTTGATCTCAAATTAGATCTTTTCCAAATATCGAAAAATAAAAAAAAATTTACCAAAAAAAAAATTTTAGGTCGAAACAAACAAAGCCTTAATGTTATAATAATTTTATATTCACATTGACACACATATATGCATGTGCAGTAATGTTACTTTTTCCAATCTTTAGGGCCTCACCCACAGGTGAGTTCGCCTTTGATCCAAACACGAGGGAATGTGTTTTTATTTTGAGCTTTATAGTTAATATATCTTTAGAGTACTTTCTAAAAACTAAACTCATAATGATATGTATCAAAATATTTGGTGAGATCGGAGATTTGATCCAAACATTGTGTTTTAAATTTGATCAATTTGTCAACTTTGATCCAATTGTGTGGGATTGTATATCATCACCCAAACCACTGACTTCCTCCACAATCTATTATTCTACCCTTTTCACATTCAATAAACAATTAGAAGATGGAACCCCAATTTGAGATTGAAGACCAATTGCGTCTAATTAAAGAACCTTATTCTCATTCATATGTACTATTAATTTAAGAATACAAGTGATAGGAAAAAATAAACCTAACCTACTTTGACCTAACAATAGAGACAACCAAGTGTTGACCAGCCGCCAAGCCTCTTCGACTTTCGAACGATGACATTTCGTTATCAAGGATAAGATTTCCATTGGATAAGAATGATGACATTCTGTTATTAGGGATAAGATTTACATTGGATAAGAACGATGATATTCCCTTATCAAAGATGAGGGAAGTGACTATAAATATGAAGACGACTCGGGAGTAAGGGACATACAAAAAACTCCTACTAGAATGATTACGATAGAAATTCTTTCTTTAAAAACTCCCACTAACTTGATAGTCGGAGGGTCAACGGCCGGCACTACATCGATATTTGATTTAGCCGTTTTTGTTTTGCAGGAAACGGTGTCGTACCAGGCTGCAGCGAATTTCAACCCCAACAGTTGGCACA